CCAAGTCCGAAACCAAATATACCTTGACTGCTCAAGCCCTAGAACAGCGTCAACTCCCAAATCCGAATACCGCGAAAACCTCACCTCGAGAACCGAGAGCACGCGCAGACGACGCGAAAAGAGCACACGGGGCGTTAGTGAAACCCTAAACCCTAAACCCTAAACCCTAAACCCTAAACCCTAAACCCTAAACCCTAAACCCTAAACCCTAACAGTGTTAGTGACAAGGCTTACCCCGAGAAAAAATGACGCACGACCCGGTCCCAAGTGTCCCCCCAGTAAGCCTGATTGAAAATTCGTGAGAACGAAGAAATACAACTGCTTTTTATGACCCTACAGTCCAACATGTTCGCCATGAATAGGACTTATAACCCTGCTATTCTAACTGCCGTAGAACCCAATGTAAACCCAACCTCCACCCCGCAAGCCCTGAACCGCGAAGTAGCTTGGTTTTGGATCCTTTTTGCTGGAGGCTAGGCTTTAGGCTCTGCCGGCGTGTTGCGACACATAACTTTCAAAACTCAGAATGGCACGCTGGCAGGTACAGAAGTTGAAGAAAGTTGAACATATCAATCTTCTTGGAGCTTGAACAGAAGCCCATCGGCATGGCCGGTTCTTAGCGATCCACGTACAGATTCCGTTTATCTGTCTTGAGGGTTTAGGGTCATTTGGGTCCAAAAACCCGAAACCCCAAAACCGAACCCCTAAACCCTAAACCCTAAACCCCAAACCCCAAACCCTAAACCCTAAACCCTAAACCCTAAACCCCCGGAGCTGCAGCTCCTTAAACCTGCAACACGAGGCGCCGATAGCGGCAAGGACCTCACGGGGCGCCTCCAACAGTGGAAAGGACGACCTGGAAACGATCTCCGCAAATCTACCTGTGGGGGTCGGAATAACTAGAACAGAATTTTTTTTTTTTTTGGGGGGGGGTTTAGGGGGGATTCATGCAGAATTATAATATAGGGGCCATAAAGGAATACTATTAGTACCCTAAGCCCTACAGACCCTGAACCCTAGTAGTGCTGTAAGGACCTCAAGTTGTACCTAAGCGTCACCTTGGTAAAGCCACCCGCCCCTCCGTGAGCAGAAAGAACTTGGGCTTTAAGGCCTGTGGCTGTTGGCTGTGGACCTCAGCCACCCTCTATACTCCCCTTAGAACCTTAATAAAAATAGTATGTTTAATATCCTCTTGGGTTGTATATATATATATACAAAAATCAAGGGCGATACAGCGCCCTGCCCCATGTCCAGCACTATCGACATGTTGCTACCGCTCGGCTTTGACATCGCCGCAGCATTCCCAAACGCTTTGCAGTTGTGACGCTGCGGATGTAGCGAAGGCACTGCGACGTGAACGTGGTCAACGCACACATCCTGTGACACGGCTGGCTGAATGGCCTTCAGCACCTTTCAAGACATGCCCAAGTTGCGACATCTGATGTCAACCGGTAGATGGCCTTGCATATGTCGATGCAGCCCCCTTCCCCTTCCTGCATTTGCCTGATCTGGTTCCCATGCAGGACCAACTTTTTGTTTTGACCATTCACCGCACGCAGCATCAAACCCACGAGGGGTCGAGAGGGCTTTCGGTGAACCCTAAAACCCAAGTCCTAATCAGCTTTGAGACCTCCAAGTGAGCTCCGCACCAGATCCCACCCCCGACCCCACAAGAGTTTTTTGTTGATAAGCAAGAGCATGTTAACCCGGCAAGCCTAAAACCTCAACCTGGTGTAACCCCTTAACAAAAATTGCCCCCCTTCCCCCCCCCCCCCCGCCCGCGAAAAATAGAAGTACTAATAACACCGTATAGGTATTCAGTGTCATATTGTGATATGGGGGGTGTCCCACATTAGGGGGTACCTTATTGGGGCCTTTATTTTACTGTACTCATACTATTTGGCGGTCTAATTTGGGGGTCCCCTATTTGGTAAACCCCCATTTTATATTGATGGTTGTTGTTTCAGCATACCGTATTCATTGCCATGGGAGGGGATACTCGTGCCGGCCAGTGGGCGTATCGTCCTCCAAGAGATCGTCCAGCAGTTCGGCTCGGTCCTCGCTTCTCAGCAACACTTACTTCCCCGCCCAACAACCCCGGAGTCCTAAATTTGGTATGTTTCCCCTTATACTTACGCTCCTGAATAGGGATTCTAAGAGGGGGTACTATAATCCCCCATTAAGGACTGTTAGTATCAGGGGGAACATCCCAACCCTAAACCCTGAACACTGGGCCTTGAACTTTACATCCGAAGCCCTCAAAGCCGTAAGATCCTATTAGAACCCTCAAGCCCCCCAAGACCCAAAACTAGACGCGAGCAGCGTTCAATTTCAACTGAAACCTGTTTAACCATTCAACCCAAAGAACCCGAAAACCGCAAAACCATAAAAACGCAAAACTAGAAGCCCCTTTTCTAGTATCCTGGGGTCCAGATTCTTTTTTGGGGGGGCCTTGGAGAGGGGGGGGGGGCAGGCTTTGGAGGGGGGGGCCTGGGGAGTTGGGACCAGGAGAATGAGTCCCCAAATAGCAGGATCGCCTTGTAATAAGGCCCCAATGAGGTACCCCTAGTTTCGGGAAAAAATGACTTGCAAGGCCCTCTCAACATCTACAGGAGGGTCCGGTGTTGAGGGTTCGTAGGGTTTGGGAAGGCGGGAGGGCACGTAAACCCTAAACCCTAAACCCTGAACCCTGAACCCTAAACCCTAAACCCTAAACCCTAAACGGGCAATGCTTGGCGGCGAGAGTCCTCATACCCGAAGTTGGGTTCCACCTGGACAACGGGGCAGCTTCTTCCCAGGAACCCTGTGCCCAATAAGCCCCCTAACCCTTAGCCATCCCGAAGCCCCGTTTACCCTCAACCCTAATTCAAGAGCCCCAAACCCTGGGGTTTAGGGTTCAGCCTAAACCCAAAATCTCGTAAGGTTTAGGGGTTTGCTTGGGTTCAAGGGCTGCAGACTCTGGATTTCAAGGGCGACGGGCTCGGAGGGAGTTGCCTCCAATCTTGGGGTTTAGGGCTTGAGGTTTAGGGTTTAGGGTTTAGGGTTTAGGGTTTAGGGTTTAGGGTTTAGGGTTTAGGGTTTAGGGTTTAGGGTTTAGGGTTTAGGGTTTAGGGTTTAGGGTTTAGGGTTTAGGGTTCATGCTTAAGGCTCACGGAGGTGCAAGTGCACTCCGCCAACCTGTCTCTGGAGGACCTAAACCCTAAACCCTAAACCCTAAACCCTCAACCCGAAACCTGACAGGAGCTCCGAAAGCTGCCCCGCGGACCTCCCAAAGCTGTCACGGGGGCTGCCGGCGAGCATCTGGCGGTACTCTGCGCCCCGCTTAGGACAATCGCGCCACCGGCAGAATGGTTCAGGGCTCAGGAAATCAAGGGTGCAGAGCCCTAAGCACTAAACCCTGAACCCTGAACCCTGAACCCTGAACCCTAAACCCTAAACCCTAAACCCTGAACCCTGAACCCTGACCCTTGTGGGTTGGGGCAGAGCAGAATTCTCCTACGAAGTCCGGGAGTCTCTACCTTGAAGGGACCAAGGCATGCAACGCACCGGGAGAATGAGAAGAAGCCTCTCTTTGTTTAAGGGCTTTGGGGTTTGGGGTTTGGGGTTTAGGGTTTGGGGTTTGGGGTTTAGGGTTTAGGGTTCAGGGTTTAGGGTTTTCGGCGGTCTTGTTTGCTCGACTTTGGCTGTGTCTGTATTTTGGGGCACAACCTGGTACCTCAACCCTCAACCTTCAGCCCCAGAAGCTACGAAACAGTGCCTGGGCTTTGGGGTTTAGGCTTCGGGGCTCCACTCAAGCTGTAACCCTGCCGGCTGTTACGGGCTGAAGATGAGACCTTCAGCCTGCACGCAATGAACGAACCCTATAATGGAGGGCTGCGAAAACCTCGACCCAATATCCTCACCCAAACCCTCAACCCTGAACCCGAAACCCAAGATCCTGAGCCCTAAATCCTCAAAAACTCGAAGCACTAAACCCTAAACCCTATTCCTAAACCCTAAACCCTAAACCCTAAACCCTAAACCCTAAACCCTAAACCCTAAACCCTAAACCCTAAACCCTAAACCAGCCTGCTCCTTCGACTGCTTCCGCTTGTAGCCGAAGAGGTCGTGGGCTCCCACCATCACCGGCTCCAGTGGTTCAACATATGGGCCCCCTAATGTCTCCTACGTGGTGAACTCTTATGTACCTGCGTAGATATACATATATATATATTTATTTATTTATTTATTTTTATTCTTCATATTTATATTTATATTTATTTTTATTTTATCTTTATTTTGATATTTATATTGATACTGATATTTATATTTATACTTATAATTATATTTATATTTATCTTTATTTATATTTATCTTTATATTTATATTTATATTTGTATTTATATTTATATTTATTTTTATGTTTATATTTATATTTATATATGTGTATATATATATATATATATGTATATAGTTGTTGACATGAGAGGGTCTATCGGGGAACTTCATACTTGGGGCGCAGGCTTCGGGTGTGGGTCCAGGGCTCGGGAGGTTCAGGTTCAGGTTCAGGGTTAGGTTCGTACAGAGTTTGAGGTTCAGGGTTTATGATTTAGGGTTCAGGCTTTAAGACTCAGGGTTCAGGGCTTCGGGTTTTGTAGCTTCAGGCAACGGGGTCTGGATGAAGAAGGGCTAACTGCAAGCGACGCGCAAGGTCACCTGCCGGCCTGCCCTTGCGAAGGGAGGCGGACCGAGTGATCCCAAAAAGGGAGACCCCAAACCATACATGGCACGGTTGAGGGCTTTAGGGATTGTGGGTCTGGGGTTCACATCTGCATGGAATTGGGGGATCAGCGTCTGGGGCCTGGCCGCGTGCGCGACCACTTGAGTTTAGAAACCCAAAACCCCAAAACGTCAACACTCGCGAATCTCAGTGCTTAGACTGTAGGATTGGCAGCTCGGGCAGTATGGCTGGGGCAGGGGCAGGGGGTTTGGGGCGAGGCTTTTGTCTGCGTATGCAGGCACTATCTTGCGCTTCGTGATCTTGGCGGCGACATCCCCTGGCACAGCACATCTCCATCCCCTGAACCCCTACATCCTGAGCCCTAAACCCATGAGCCCCCAAACCTTAGAACTTTGACCGCAACCAAAGTCCTGAAACCTGGCTGCTCGAGCACCGCCATCCACCAGCCTGGGGGTTAAGGGTTGCGTATTAGGGCTCACGCCCAGATCCCAAAGCCTCCAAAGCCCTGGAACCCCAGAGCAAAACAAATCATCTCGCAACCCCACCCCAAACCCCAAGCCGCAAGTATCCCCCACAACTTCAACTCCAGACCCTAAAACCCTCAACCCTAAACCTTGGCAGCCTCAAAGAGGAACCCCACGCAACGCGCAGTGAAACGAGCCCGCGCCGTAGCGCCGGTCCTTTAACGACAAAATGGTAGTTGCTTTTTCCAATGCAAACAACGATGTTGCTTCGAGAGGCCACCAAAAAAAACCAAGCCAAGTATACCCCGCGGGTCAATTGGTAGTGCACTGGCATAAACCATGACGGTATCAATAGCAAAACATACAAACGTTATGTACATATATATATATACATGTGTGTATATATATACATATATATATATACCCTGTGAACATGCAATACACAGCTTATTGGGCAGGTGCGGCGAGTCCCCCGTGCTTTAAGACATAAGAACTTGAAGAGGAAAGCCACGAGATCCATCACACCATCCATCCGTGCATCATCCATCACGCCATCCATCACGACATCCTTATAACGAAGACTCTTCCCGAAGACCAGCTCCGCTGAAAAGCCCTCGACATGCTTTCGGGAAAAAGACATAAAGAATAGCAAGCAGACAAGCAAACCCTGAACCCCTGAACCCTTAACTCTTAAACCCTAAACCCTAAACCCTGAACCGTAAACCCTAAACCCTGAGCCCTTAACCCTTAAACCCTTAAACCCTTAAACCCTTAAACCCTTAAACCCTTAAACCCTTAAACCCTTAAACCTTAAACCCTTAAACCCTTAAACCCTTAAACCCTTAAACCCTTAAACCCCAAACCCTAAACCCTAAACCCTGAACCGTAAACCCTAAACCCTGAGCCCTTAACCCTTAAACCCTAGACGCTAAACCCTAAACCCTGAACCGTACACCCTAAACCCTGAGCCCTTAACCCTTGAACCCCAAACCCTAAACCCTGAACCGTACACCCTAAACCCTGAGCCCTTAACCCTTAAACCCTTAAACCCTAAACCCTAAACCGTACACCCTAAACCCTGAGCCCTTAACCCTTAAACCCTAAACGCTAAACCCTAAACCCTGAACCGTACACCCTAAACCCTGGGCCCTTAACCCTTAAACCCTAAACACTAAACCCTAAACCCTGAACCGTACACCCTAAACCCTGAGCCCTTAACCCTTGAACCCCAAACCCTGAACAAACACAAAAAGGTGGAGCCTTCGATGGCTTGGCTTCAGCCTGGGGCTTCGGGGATTTGGGGTCAGGGGGTTTCGGGTTTCGGGTTTAGGGTTTAGGGTTTAGGGTTTAGGGTTTAGGGGTTAGGGTTTAGGGTTTAGGGTTTAGGGTTTAGGGTTTAGGGTTTAGGGTTTAGGGTTTTAGGGTTTCGGGTTTAGGCCCCCCCCCCCCCCAAAGGCCCCCCAAAAACGCCCCCTAAAAGCTCCAAGCCTTCCGGGCCTGTTGTTTCGGGGGTATGTGCTCTTTGGGCCTTTTGTGGCTTCCCAAGGGGCGCTTCGGATTCATTTACGAAAACGCGGTTTTGGTTGGCTGTTTGGACAAACGCTTTGGGATAAATATTGTAACTCGGCCTGTCAGCTGTTTGGACAAACAACTTCGGAAATTCACAATCATGTCACATACAATTCCTATGTATTGTGTCTTGATTGTTTAGGGTTTAAGGTCGAGGGGGTTTACTTTTAGGGTTTTTTTTGGAGATTGGGTTTAACGCTGCCGAGTTTATCCCAAAGGCCCAAGTAGCCCCAAAGTAGCAAGCCCAGGCGGGGGGGTGAGGAGGGGGTGGGCTTAGGGGTTTGGGGGGTTGGGGGATTTTGGGGTTTAGGGGATTAGGGCTTAGGGTGGGGGGGGTGGGACAGTGTTTCGGAGTCTACGCCTACACCTAAACAGCCGTTTTCAGGGAAATCCGGAACCCTGGCTTGTCTTTGGGGTGCCTGAGCTGGGCTCTCAAGGCTTGGGCGGCTCAGGCTCCAGGATTCCTTCTTTGAACCGAGGCCAGGTCGACCAAACACCGTTCGTTTAGGGCTTAAGGGGCTTAAGTGGGCTCTGGGCCCCTAGACCCTAAACCCCTAAACCCTAACCCTAAACCCTAAACCCTAAACCCTCAACCCTAAACCCTAAACCCTAAACCCTAAACCCTAAACCCTCGTTTTACAACCCGTAGAAGCACGTACAAGTGAGAAGGGCCCATGCTTCGTATCCCTAAAAACAAGGGTAAGGGACCATACCAAGGGCCTATGGCTCCACCCTTGGACTGCAGCCGCCACTTGGAGGTTTAGGGTTTCGACGGTTTAGGGTTTAGGGTTTAGGGTTGTGACAAGGGTTTAGGGTCTAAGGGTCTAAGGGTCTAAGGGTCTAAGGGTCTAAGGGTCTAAGGGTCTAAGGGTCTCAGGGTCTAAGGGTTTAAGGGGCTAAGGGTTTAGGGGTTTAGGGGTTTAAGGGTTTCAGGGTTTAAGGGTTTAAGGCTTGAAGGGTTTAAGGGTTTAAGAATTGGGGTTTCGGCTTGGCGTTGAGGCTTCCAGGTCGCCTCAAGCACTGAGGCATAGGGGTAAACCCTGAAAAGCCTACCTCCTGAGCCCCTAAACCCCGAAACCCCTGAAGCTCTAAAACCCTAAGCCCTAAACTCCTAAAGCCCTGAACCACGAAACCCCTGAACCTCTAAACCCCCAAACCCCTAAACCCCCTAAACCCCGAACCTCCTAATTAAACCCCTACACCATGTAAACCCTAAACCCTAAAACTCCCCAACCCCCCCATACCCCAACCAGGAGCCCCCAAACCCCCCATCCCCTTGAAGCCAACTGGGCGCCCCTGCCGAGGGGACCGTCGCGCCGCCAAAACTCACCTCAGGGTCGTAGTTCTCGCCTCGGGACTTCAGGGTTTTAGAGCCATTTCTGGGCTTCGGGGTTTAGGGTTTAGGGGTTTAGGGTTTAGCGGTTAGGGTCTAGAGTTTGGGATGCCGGGCTCACTGTGCGGTTTCTGGCGGAAGAAGCTCAGGATTTGACTCCATAGTCCCCTAAAACCTCGACAGCCCTGCAAATTTCAGCTCTGGCACCTTCGGAAATATTGTCCCAAACCCTAAGCCCTAACCCTAGACCCTAAAACCCAAACCCTAAACCCTAACCCTAAACCAATTCCTATACTCTAAAAAAGCTCAACAGCCACACGCAACGGCCCTAGACCCTTCAGCAGCACGCAACAACAGCCTTAGCCCAAGCGAAACAACCCTCCACTCAAACCCTCTAAAAGCCCAAGACAAACCCCTAAACCCAAAAAACTCTCAAGGTTTGACCTCAGAGATTCGGCCGAAACCGGAAAGCCCATAACGCCCAGAAGCCCCCACGGTTTGACCATCCAGGTTGCGGCGATGTTGCAACCAGCGGTCCAGTGGGCTGTTCCTTGGACAGTTCAAAGGGTGTCCAAAAGCCACATAAAAATGAACCCTTTGAGTCTTTAAGGGGTTTGGGGTTTGAGGACCCTAAACCCTAAACCCTTTAAGGGGTTTGGGGTTTGAGGTTTAAGGTTTGTTCAGGTTCACATGGAGTTTGGAATACCGTAGAAGGTGAGAGGTTGCATTACCAGGTTACAGAAAGGTGTGAAGGCTTCTTGGCCTTAGGGGCAGCTTAGGGGTTGCCTGGAATGTGCCAAGAAACTCTGATCGCCCTGTGACATGTACTGCACTCCCTGACCCTGGGGGTTTAGGGTTTAGGGTTTAGGGTTTAGGGTTTAGGGTTTAGGGTTTAGGGTTTAGGGTTTAGGGTTTAGGGTTTAGGGTTTAGGGTTTAGGGTTTAGGGTTTAGGGTTTAGGGTTTAGGGTTTAGGGTTTAGGGTTTAGGGTTTAGGGTTTAGGGTTTAGGGTTTAGGGTTTAGGGTGGTCTGGGCTTGATGCAACGGCATGTCGATGGCGCCGCTTGCACTTGTGAACCGCTGACGACGAGGTAAAGTGACTGTCAACTGGAGTCTCGCTGCTATACCCTGCAGAGAAAGGCGTTGCAGACCCCACAATGCGCCCAGCAGCATGTAGCCTGACGCGACTACCTCAATAAGGTACCCTTGATATCGTGAACCCCATTGGGGTTTAAAGTTTATAAGGTTCAGGGCTGGTCCAACTTCCCAACTCCCTGCCGGGTCTGGCTTCAGTATGCCGCTCAGGGTCCTCTAAGCCGAAACCCTAAACCCTATAAACCGTGAACCCTAACCCCCAAAAACCCTAAACGCTAAAAACCCTCAACCCTAAACCCTAAACCCCAAACCCTGGACCAACTTGGCAGTCCCAAGGTTCCACCTTGCCCAGCTTCGCTTGTACCAGCCTCCAGCATACTCTTGAGGTTCTGGGTTAGGGTTTGGGGTTTAGGGTTTAGGCTTTAAGGTTTCGGGTTTAGGGTTTAGGGTTTAGGGTTTAGGGTTTAGGGTTTAGGGTTTAGGGTGCTAGGGTTTTGCGGTTTTGGGGCTTTGGGATTTTGGGGTTTGGGGGTTTTGGGGGCTTTGGGGTTTTGGGGTTTGGGGGTTTGGGGGTTTGGGGGTTTGGGGGTTTAGGGGGAGCGGCGCGGGGTAAGGAAAGGAAAGATTTCACTCGGCTCTGAACCCTCAACTCCAGACCCTAGAAACAAGTACGAGTCAGGTGAGTGGATACCTAAAATAAATACAAATTTCTATAGGTATATATGATCACTGCTATAAAATAAGGTCCGTTTTGGAGGGGTCCTTATTATAAGGCGGCCCGTCTTATGTCGGGAGACCCCAAAAAGGAACCACAATTTAGAGAACTGAGCATAAATACATAAACTCCAAAGCCTAACCCGCAGGTACGGGCTCTGCACCCAAGAACGCCCGCAGCCGAGGGTTTAGGACTCAGGGTTTAGGGTTTAGGGTTTAGGGTTTAGGGTGTGTTGAGGGTTGAAGGTTGAGGGTTGAGGGTTGAGGGTTGAGGGTTGAGGGTTGAGGGTTGAGGGTCGAGGGTTTAGGGGTTGAGGGTTCGGGTTTAGGGGTTAGGGGTTTAGGGTTTAGGGTTTAGGGTTTAGGGTTTAGGGTTTAGGGTTTAGGGTTTAGGGTTTAGGGTTTAGGGTTTAGGGTTTAGGGTTTAGGGTTTTTTGTGTTCCTGAGCACTCAGAGCAGTGGCCTGAGTACAGATCCAACGGCGTGGCGATCTTGACCTCGAGACGCCGAAAGGGTTTATAGGGTTTAGGGCTCTGTAGATTGGGATGTTCCCCCTTATACTAAAAGTCCTTGATTATCGTACCCCCCGATTATAATCCCTACCAAGGACTGTTAGTATAAGGGGAACTTGCCAATGCATAGAGCTTTAGGGGGAGGATTTTGGGATTGAGGTTTCGGGTTTGGCCTGGGGCTTCGGGGGGGAGTAGGGTTTGGGCGTTTGGGTCTAATTTAGCGGGTTTAGGGGTTGAAAGTCTAAGGCTTCGCATGTCGCTGCAGTGAGCGGAAGAGACAAGAGACAAACCTGTTAGCAGGCTCCGCCTTGACGTATCCAGAAGTCCTAAGGCGGCTTGCCCAGACTTGGCCTGATACCCTTAGAAACTCGACCCAAGAGTAACCTAGGAATGACAAGGGTGCCCTGTTTTGGTTTAGAGAGGGGAGTATAAGGGAACCTAAATCCTAAAAACAGGGGAGTAAAGTCCTACTCTGGGTCCTAGGAAATCGGAGATGTCCTCAACTTCTGGGTACTACGGTACAGGGTGGGTTACTCTATCAACCCTGTTGGGGACCCTGGATCCTGGAGTCCTTTGGACCCTGTATTTGAAACCCAAACCCCCCAAAGTTCTTGTGGCTGAAACAGCCCCAAGTCCTCCAAGACCCCTGAAAAACTACTGAGCCCTCAACCTCTAAACGACTCTCGGAATTGAAGGCACAGCAAGCGCATCCACGTGACTCCTCGCTTCTTGAAGTGCAGGGCGTGTTTGCGGAGTAGCTTCCTGTACTTCTCTTTCGCCTCGGTTTAGGGTTTAGGGTTTGAGGTTTGGGCTTTGGGGGCCTGCAGAGGTTTGTTCGAAGCCCCATGCGGCCAGTTCTCCAACTTAGCGTCCCTTCAAGGTGCCCTAGATATGAGGGGCCGTCGTAGCACAGGGACACAAACTGGGACTCTCCATGTAGGGGACTTTCGATCAGTTTCGCAGTACTGGAAAAAGCCGCATCCCAAAGACTCACTCAAACAGGGAACCGATGGGCAAAGCATGAGCGTGAAGTGTTCAAGGTTCTCACGTTCCCCTAAACTCAGCGCCCTACGATGTTCCAAGGGCCCTCCTGATCCAGGATATATGGATCCTGTTTGTGGGGTCGGAAATGTTTCCCAGCTGCTCCCCGCGTTGATTTGGGGCCGCCCAGGCTCACACCCTGCCTGCGTGAAAGCACGCGCTGACAGGGCATTGGGGATGGTCTGGCAATCCAAACGAGAGGGCTGCTCGTTTGGATTGCCACGGACGCTGCAAAGCCAGCTCTGGATGCATTGGCAGCGTTTGTAGAAGCATCTAGCTGGCTCTATTTGGACATCATCCTGCCAAGCACGGGCCTCGGCACACCCAGCCTAAGGTGTTTCCAAGACTCTGGCCGGAACCAAAACAGACCGGGCGATGTAAGGCGATATGAATAAGTATATGTACGTGCGCATACATATATATGTATATATGTATTTTTGTAAGTCTGTATATCTGTATACATGATGTATGTATATATGTATTTTGTAAATCTGTATATCTGTATACATGTATGTATGTATGTATGTATGTATGTATGTATGTATGTATGTATGTATGTATGTATGTATGTATGTATGTATGTATGTATGTATGGTCAGGAATGCTCAAGTGACCATCTCGGACCCTCTCGATGCTGGCTGCCAAGATCCACCATCCCGCACCCCGAACAAAACGAGGAACTCTCTACAAATATACATCCGCAGGTATTCTTGTATCTGAAACTGTATACTTATACCCGTAAAGCCCTAGAAATCTACACCAGCCGAAAGCCCTCAAGCCCTGGAGCCCAAAAACCCACCCCCCTAGATCCCAAACATCCTAACGCCCTACAGCCCGAAAACCCAAGAACCTTAAAGCCCTAAACCTGAAAGCCCTGTAACCCCCTAAAGCCCTGCCCAAACCCGCAAACCGAGCCTCAAACCCTAAAAACCCTGCCGAGCTTCGTCGTAGGGCTGCCTGATGACATCGAACCATCCTTGGGGTCTCTCTGCAGGGGGTTTTCGGGTTTTGGGGGTTTGGGTTTAGGGTTTCAGGGTTTAGGGTTTCAGGGTTTAGGGTTTGGGGTTTGGGGTGCTGGGGTTGAGGGTTTCAGGGGTTTAGGGTGTGGGGCAGGCTTTCTGGGGTTTAGGGTTTAGGGCTTCGGCTTAGGGTTTAGGGCTTAGGGTTTAGGGTTTAGGGTTTAGGGTTTAGGGTTTAGGGTTTAGGGTTTAGGGTTTAGGGTTTAGGGTTTAGTGTTTAGGGTTTATTGTTTAGGGTTTAGGGTTTAGGGTTTAGGGTTTAGGGTTTAGGGTTTAGGGTTTAGGGTTTAGGGTTTAGGGTTTAGGGTTTAGGGTTTAGGGTTTACGGTTTAGGGTTTAGGGTTTAGGGTTTAGGGTTTAGGGTTTAGGGGGCCTAGACGGTTTTCTAATGTTTTGGGCGGAGCTATGATGTTCTAAGGCCAAAGGAGTGACATTGGATCGTACCAGAAAGTCCAAAAAAAAGCCCAGGTGCGATCTGGCCAGTGCACCCAGTGATCGCCAGGAGCAACTAGCAGTGCATACCTGCATCGGACGAGGTCGGGGTGGGGTGTCTGGTAGGAACCTAACTCAAAACCCCACACTATCAAGTGTGAAAGCCCTACTTCTGAGGGCGGCGCCAAACAAAAAAATCCTGAACGACCCATACAATCCCCGTCCCTTGTGGACCCCCGGGCGCTTAAGGCATCACACTAGGTGTCGTCGCTGGCTGCGAAGTTGGGAAAAGCATGCATTTGTTCATGGACCCCTAAACCCTAAACCCTCAGTGAATGAGAGGCTCAGCCTCCAAATCCTCAGCCTCCAAATCCTGACCTCAAAAGGCCAAGGAAACCCCGAACCCTGAAACCCCAAGCCTAAACCCTGAACCCTGTGCACCTGAAACCCTAAACCCTAAACCTGAAACCCTAAGCCCTAAACTCTAAACCCTTAAACCCTAAACCCCAAACCCCAAACCCTAAACCCTAAACCCTAAACCCTAAACCCTAAGCCCTAAACCCTAAACCCTAAACCCTAAACTCAGACTTGAGGTTGCCCCCCGTTGCCGGATATCCCAGAGAGCCCAACAATGCCAAAGCCTCATCCCTAAACACCCCCCCCCCCCCCCCCCCCCAAACTCCAAAGAGCCCACCCGCAAACCAATCCCTAAACGTCACCCTAAAGCCTAAGCCCTAAACCCTAAACCCTAAACCCCAGACCCTCGACCCTACACCCTCAAAGCCCAAACCCGAAATCCCAAACCCCAGACTCGAAGCAAGGCCCGGCAATGGAAAACGACTCTGACAACACCCAGCTTTGGCTCCCGGCTGTAGGGTATAGGGTTTAGGCTTTAGGGTTTAGGGTTGAGGGTTGAGGGTTGAGGGTTGAGTGTTGAGGGTTGAGGGTTGAGGGTTGAGGGTTTAGGGTTTAGGGTTTAGGGTTTAGGGTTTAGGGTTTACGGCCTCTTCTGGGGTTAGAGGGATTACGGACTTGAAGGCAGAATCGATCTCCACTACATGGTCAGTCCAGTTCTGCGACCACTGGAATCAATAGTTTAGGGTTTAGGGTTTAGGGTTTAGGGTTTAGGGTTTAGGGTTTAGGGTTTAGGGTTTAGGGTTTAGGGTTTAGGGTTCAAGACTCTTTCTAAAGACCGCAGCGCGCGATGCAGGCAACCTTTGGCAAACGAGGAGAGCATGTTCTTGCATCTCCAAAAACTGGCGTCTTTGGCGTTGCACGCGATGCTGACTGCTTAGCAGCCAGTCTTTAATAAGAGATTTAACCTTAAATTGGAACATAATTCCAGTCCCAGTCTCCAGGTTGCGAACCATCGTCGTCATCCCGTCCTCCATCGGCTCCACCATCCCCATCTCCACCTCCATCTCCACCTGATCCTCCATCTCCACCAGATCCATCTCCGGCGCCGTCATCGTCCCTGCCTCCACCTCGACCGTCATCGTCTCCACCTGTGCGGCCATCATCGTCCCTACCACCCGAGCCACGGCCGTCATCGTCCCTGCCTCCACCTCGACCGTCATCGTCTCCACCCGGGCGGCCATCATCGTCCCTACCACCCGAGCCACGGCCATCATCGTCTCGTCCTCCACGGCCGTCGTCACCACGGCGATCGTCATCTCGAGTACGGTTGCTGTCATCGCCTCGGCGATCGTCGACACGACGGTCGTCATCACCTCGCCGATCGTCACGGCCTCCACCTCCCCGCCTGTCGTCATCACCCCGCCGATCGTCGCCGCCTCGGCGACCATCGTCATTGCCTCGGCGATCGTCACCTCCTCCGCGACGGTCGTCACCACCTCGGCGATCGTCACCACCTCCACGGCGATCGTCATTGCCTCGACGATCGTCACCACCTCGGCGATCGTCACCTCCACGGCGATCGTCATTGCCTCGACGATCGTCACCACCGCCCCGACGGTCGTCACCACCTCGGCGATCGTCACCACCTCCACGGCGATCGTCATTGCTTCGGCGATCGTCACCACTTCCCCGGCGATCGTCACCGCTTCGGCGATCGTCACCACCTCGGCGATCGTCATTGCCTCGGCGATCGTCACCACCTCCCCGACGGTCGTCACCGCTTCGGCGGTCGTCATCTCCACGGCGGTCATCAACTCGGCGATCGTCACCTCGACCTCCCCGACGGTCGTCACCGCTTCGGCGGTCGTCAGCACCTCCGCGGCGGTCATCAACTCGGCGATCGTCACCTCGACCTGCCCGATTGTCATCACCACTTCGGCGGTCGTCACCACCTCCACGTCGGTCATCAACTCGGCGATCGTCACCTCGACCTCCCCGACGGTCGTCATCACTGCGGCGGTCATCACCTCGCCGGCTTCGGCGGTCGTCACCACCTCCACGGCGGTCGTCACCTCGACCTGCCCGACGGTCATCACCGCTTCGGCGGTCGTCACCACCTCCACGGCGGTCATCAACTCGGCGAGCGTCGTCACGACTACCATCGTCGCGCACTGGATCGTCATAGCCAGACCTACCGCGGCCATCATCTCGAACGCGGCGGTTGTCATCGCCGCCTCTGGAACCGTCATCGCGTCCGCCACGGCCTGAACGGTCATCTCGAAGGTCAGCACGATCATCTCGGTGACGGCCTTTGTTCCGATAGTAGAAAATCGGGCCGGTAAGGTTGGTGCCATTCTGGGCATCTGTCGAGGATCGGGCGCTCAGCATCCCAGACCTCGGCAGATGAGGGGTCCAAGGTTTCTGGCTCGTTCGGGGTTGTCAAGGTGCTGGAGGAGGGGGCCTAAACCCTAAACCCTAAACTCCGGGACAGTAGATTCCTGCTGCAGTGCCTTTGTTTTGAGTATTGGGTTGCCGCCCATGGTGTAGCTGGTTTCGGCTGGTTTCGGCTGGTGGGATCCAGGGCGCATAACAAACATTTTAGGTCTAGGTTTAGAGTCCAAGGGTTTCGGGCGTTCACAGGACATGTTGCCGCCTCCGCTATGGAGTTTCTTGGTGAAAAAGACTCTACTATTCGGTGCGATTGCTGCAACTATGCGAGCAACCGATGTGGGGTTGACCAACATCTTGTTTTGGTACCCTCAACTACAAGGAATCAAATTGCAGCGGAAACCTAACGAGAGCATCAAATTCTATCTGCTATGCTTTTCCGAACAGTGTAGGGTACCGTGTATATGCAACTGTTCATGAAGGTACTGTAGAAGTGGCACTTCAGCTTCGGAAACCAACATCCATGCCGGAGTCACTTAGGGGCGGTGGTGGTTAGGCTTCAGGCTTCGGGATCACTGCGAAGTACCCAACTGGTTGAAGGCCTCCAAGCATGGAAACAAGCCAAGCTTGGCACCGAGCAACCAAAAACCAACATGCAGACGCAGCGCCTTCTTCATGCACATGGCTCAAAGCAGGCTAACCTCAAACCCTCAGCCCCAAACCTGGACCCTAAACCCTAAACCCTAAACCCAATAGACTCCCAACCCTAACCCACATGACCAAGAGGCTTCCGAAGCCTCTCCATTGCAAGCAGGCGATCGCGCACCGTCTCATTCCACCGATGCGGGCCTGCATCCATGCTCTTGTGTTTAGGGTTTAGGGTTTAGGGTTTAGGGTTTAGGGTTTAGGGTTTAGGGTTTAGGGTTTAGGGTTTAGGGTTTAGGGTTTAGGGTTTAGGGTTTACGGTTTAGGGTTTAGGGTTTAGGGTTTAGGGTTTAGGGTTTAGGGTTTAGGGTTTAGGGTTTAGGGTTTAGGGTTCGGACACTCAGGTGCAGAAGTGAGAGTTTTAAAGTGTCGGGCATATGAGGTTCCAGTATCCCGTAATCCTTAAGCCCCCAAGGCCTCAACCCCAAACCCTATAGCCACAACCTCATATTCTGCAACCCTCTACCTCGTATTAGGGGTTTAACGGTTTAGGATGTTAGAGTCCAGTGCTTCTCGCGCCACAAACCTACAATCCTACAACCCCACACCCCAAAACCCGAAAACCCCAACAAACCCCAAAACCCCAAAACCCAGAAACTCCCAAACCCGAAACCCTGCAACCCGAAACCCCCAAAAACCCTAAACCCTAAAGCCCAAACCCCAATCCCCAACCCCCAGCACCCTTAACCCCCAAGACCCAACAAAACCGACCCAGACACTGAACTCCAAGCGGCCCTCGGAGTTTCAAAATTGCCTCTATTACGTGTTTTGTGTGTTCAGGGTTTTGGGTTTTAAGGTGTAGGGTGTAGGGTTGAGGGTTTAGGGTTTAGGGTTTAGGGTTTAGGGTTCAAGGCTTAAGGGAGGAAGTAAACCCGTCAACCTTTGTTTTGAAGATCTGGGGGAAGGCCTGTGGCGTAGCCCCATGCCAAGTCCGGCCGCACCTGCGCGTTTAGGTTTCGGTTTTAGGGCCAAGGGTTTGAGGCGTCTTGGGGTTGTCGTTGCCGCTTTGGGCTTCTGGGGGTCTAGGGTCTTCGGGTTGACTCTACGAGATTTAGGGGGGTTCCACCCCCAAAACCCTAAACCCTAAACCCTCAACCCTAACCCTAAACCCTAAACCCTGAACCCTAGACCCCAAACCCTTCACGCTCCAGACCACGGCATGATCGAGGGGGGACGGGCGAAGGGGAGAATACAAATGCAGGCACGCCTGCAGCTTGTAAGGTTCGTGGGCATCCAGAAGTAGACTAGGGTTTAGGGTTTAGGGTTTAGGGTGTAAGGTTTAGGGCTTAGGGCTTAGGGCTTAGGGCTTAGGGCTTAGGGCTTGGGGTTTGGGGTTGAGGGTTGAGGGTTGAGGGTTGAGGGTTGAGGGTTTAGGGTTTAGGGTTTAGGGTTTAGGGTTTAGGGTTTAGGGTTTAGGGTTTAGGGTTTAGGGTTTAGGGTTTAGGGTTTAGGGTTTAGGGTTTAGGGTTTAGGGATAACCTTGATGAAGGGAGCGTTTACGGCTACTTCGGACTCTTCGCTGCCTTGCAACTGCTGCTGGTATCTAGAGGCGTGTCGAACCCATGCTTCCGCCGAAACACCATTGCCCAGCCTCGCTTCTAGCACCTGCAAGCCCCTCGACCCGCAACCCTCAATCCTCA